TAACAATCACTGATGCAATCACATTCATTGTATGTCAACATATCCACTTCAGATAAATAAAACAAGACACGGCTCCTTCCCACTCACACTTTGATGCTATGAAAATAATCACAAATAATAAATTTACAAATTATCTGCAGATACATTTAGAGTCTATCAGAATAATTTTTAAATGTTTCTGAAGATAATTTGTAACCGTAAGTAGGGGCCGCGCCATAGCTCAAGCGGTTAGTCGCTGGCTTCCCATCGCGGCGGCCCGGTTTCGATCCCGGCTCTGGTCAATGGGATTTGTGATGGACAAATTGGTTTTCTCCGAGTACTTCGGTTTCCCCTGCCAATCTTTATTCCACCAATTGCTCCACAACCACCCTCACCTGTCATTTGGGGCTGGTACAATAGACCAGAAGTAGCCGCAGTACAAGGGACTTAGTCCCAACCCACTAGCAATAAAAAAATAAAAAACCGTAAGTATTATTTATCGATTCTCATCTCTCGCTGACAAACTTAGACGAAAACATATGCGATCTTCTCAGAACTTCAGTGTTCAGTGATCGAGACTACATTTTTCCTTTCTCTTTTACTGCAGGAAAGCAACAATGAATTTCATGCATAGCCGTACCAATGCAAAATCTCGGGAAACACGTCGCCTCTNATGTTCAGTGATCGAGACTACATTTTTTATGCATAGCCGTACCAATGCAAAATCTCGGGAAACACGTCGCCTCTAATCAGGACATTACTTACAGCGCAGAATCCTATCGCACAAATTATTCACCAAACTGCAGCAGCAACGACTGAGCTAATCTGACACCTTTCCTCCACATTGCCGAAGGCCTCGATAATTTCGAACTTCCGATATGGAAGTTCGAGTATTAAGACACATGGAAGAAGGTCTCGGAACTGGCGTATGAAGACTTGCACTTGCTGACCATATCGGTTTTCCCTTTGTCTGGAAATTTCCCATGAACAGTCACTTTACCCATACCAAATCCAATGAGTACAAATCCTCACAACTCCTGACCATCATGCAAGGGGGAAGTTTTGCCAGAGGTTCCTCACAAAAATCTTGTGAACTATGTTTGTAAGTAGCATCCAGTTTATTGATAAACAAGGTTTCACAGGGAGAGTAATATGA